GAATTTTCTGAGGGTCGCTGATTGTTTTTGTCTGCTGACTAAAACAGGCCGCTCACGGCCGACAAAATCCCGAGCTAACTTAAGCGGGAAAGGAGCTAGGCTGTGGAGAGTGCAACCACGGGGCTGGCGTGCGGGAACCCCCTTGGCGAGAGTAAGGAGAACCCTGTGCTATTCGCAGCCGGGTCGAAGGAGGTGGGAAGCACGACAACGTGCCCTAATCAATACCCCTACGACGACCTCTCTATCACTTGACCAAAATAGACTCGAATTCCTTTACCGTCCTCCCCTTCCAATTTCTTTCGTGGACATCCAATCTCCTGTCCATGAGTCATACACCAATCCGAACATTATAGGGATACCGTCAATGCATGTCCTGAGTTTTACCTCGGCCTTAAATTTTTCCCAATACGTTTGCATCGGTTCCATAAAGTGAACACGGACCTAAGCATGTAACGTAGCTAGAATTTCCTCGAAATCTCTGTTAGTCAACTCCGGTCTCATTTCCAAATATAGGCAATAAAGGGTCTGAGATGTGAAAATTTGGTATCCTCTCTGAGGAATGGCTGGGCTACCACGACTGTTTGTTCCACATTCACGTGACCTTTGAAAACTTCATCAATGATGAAGTCCGAAAGAGTAGCCTCTATATAGCCGGCGGGATAAACAAAATTTGATGTCCATCTTGCTTCTATCATTGGTATGACAGGCCGAAACTCCCCCCAGCTCGCCTCTCTGATTTTGTCCTCAAGGACTGTCCCTGTAATTATGATATATCGCGACAGGGGTTGACTATGTCATACCGCCAGGTGTACCTCATGCATCCTCCATAGATGTGACGAAAGATACAAGGTTGTTCGTATTATTATACTTTTCCTATCTGGGGTGTGCCCAATTTCTACCCATACAAATGCTTCGGGCCCAATCGAGGCGCCCCACCATGCTGTGATTTCCTCCTCTCTCTCACTTAGGCCCCGACGTCGGATTCGGAATTTTGTAGTGCACGCCGGCGAGATCTCATCCGAACACGAGATACCGTGACCACGTGTGTGCCCTCCCCCTTTCATTCGAAACGTAGGGCAACGACTCGCTGGGAAGTACAACGATACTTTTTGGATTGAATTCCTCATCGCCGTGAGACCTCGCGCGCACCTTTTTCCTTAGATCGCGTGGCGACATACCCCTTCTTACTAAAGCCGGAACAACACGGGGGATTTCAGTTCCGTCTGTGTCCCCACATTCAATTTTCCCAAAAATCCTTGGCACACCCCATTTTGGCTGTTCAGCACAGGGCGTGAGGTTGAGCGTCACAATCCGCCCAAATCAGAGCCCGGATATTTGCGAGGATCACACACCCAAAAACCGCTCACAATCTTCTGTACGTAAGCACTTCAAGCCCCAATCAACCGACAACTTAGCATCGTCCTCGAAATCGCGATGGAGTTGGACCGGCTAACAAAAGCTACCCTTTTTGACTTTTCTCGACCAGCCCCGGCCTTGTCTTGTAGTGTGGTGTGTGGTGGAGTGAGGCGGCTTTTTGGTGAGAGAAGTCCAGTGGTGAGTACTCACCACACAAATCAATTCTTTTTTTTTAATAAAGTAAGCTACATTATTCTCTCAATTTCACCTCACACTACCTACCTACCACTACTAATGGGAACCCCATAGCAGCCAGAACTGTGTTCACGAGAGAATATGTGGAGCCTGCTCCCGAATACCGGCCAGGGGACAGAAGGTAGCATCAGGGACCATGCCAACAGGACCAATCCCTGTGCCTCCCCTCCGGTCCCCTCCCCTACGAACATCAGCAGACTCTGCTCAATGCCGATCGGCAATCAGGGGATTGAGTGGTCCACTCTATCTCTAGGTGGCAGGAAGGTACATGAGGCCAAGCATGCCCAGGAAGGTACATGCAGCGAATGGGGATTGAGCCCACGACCTCCAGAATGCAACTTGCCAGCCTTACCAACTGCGCTAGGCCTAATTTGATGAGTGGTGGAGCGAGGCCCTTATTGCCTTCAGGGAATCCCTACCGTAGCAGCCGTCGTTTGTGGAGGGCCGAACACCACTTTCCCCTTTTTCGTACAGAAAAAGAGAAGAGAACGAAAAAGGTTTGGATGGTTTTTGTGAGAACGCGTCGCTGCCGACGTGGCGCCAGGATATCCGAAAAAGTGACTAACAAGCAAAGCACGTGCGGCTAAGGGCTACACCTTCAAGCTAATCAAATCACTGTTAAGAAACAAGTCCTGTGTTCGAATCCAACAGGCTCAATGAATGACTGAATCGGCGCAGCCTGTTGCCTCAACTCTGTGGCAACAGAAAGGGAAGGGAAAAAATTAAACAAAAAAGAATCATGAACGTGAAAAAAAACACGGGAAAAAAAAAAAAAAAAAAAAAAAAAAAAAAAAACACGAAAAAGGAGGGCCTCCAGCAAAAAGCGCAGGCCACCTTTGGCGCAGCACTCGTGATACATGAAAAGCGGTGAGCACATCTTCACGTGGAAAGGGGAAAGATATATATCCTACACAATGAATACTGGGGGCTTCGAGACGACGGACGTATGCATTTATACGTCTGCGTTTTTATAAAGGTGCCCTCGGCTGTCTTGCATCGGGGGGTGGTCAGGCGGAGTTGTCTCCATTCTGCACAGATAAGGGTGCATATAGCATTATTATGTGAAAAAACTTGGGATAGCATTATTATTTATTAGTATTTCAATGTGGGGGAAACTACGGGGGAGTCACAGAAATGAGTTATAATTGCACTACGGGCCAAGATACATTTTCAAATTGCAGTTCGGGCAATGTATACAACCCAGCTTTCTGGCCAGGTAGGGTGCCCCAAATGCAATTGCAAACTGTATCCTGTCCCATACTGCAATTCTAACTCGTTTTTGCGACTCTCCTGAAGTTACCCCTTAAAAATTTGTTATCGAAAATAAATTAATAATCGAAGACGAACAAAATTTACCCTTCAACCTTCTGTCCCCCATTGCCATCCACAGAGTCCACAGAAACCCGGCTCTCTGATGAACTTTTTATTTAGTTATTAGTTAGTTAGCCGCTATCTGGAGGAGCAGTCCGTGTCGTTGTTCCCCAACATTATGAATTCCCTTGTCCACACCTCCCTTGGTCCATACGCAAAAAACCACTGCCAGTTCATAGTACTAGGGTAGGTAGGAACGTACTAAGACAAGTTTTAAGACAGAGTGAAGGAGTTTTACGTCGATCAGGATCAGTAACAAAGTCTATATATAAGCGAAACCGGCTGATGCTGCCGGGATAACTCCGGGTTGAATTGTGAGGTCCCCGGCCAAAGTTTGGGAATAATAATCAAGGATCAATTCAAAACAAAAAAAAAAACAAAAAAAAAAAAACACTGCCAATCAACCCAGTCCCAGAAACCTCTGGGCACCACGCTCTCCCACCATAAGGGACCGGGGGCAAGGTCCCACTTGCGCAAATTAGGAGGGAGATTTCGGCCGTTGATCTTTTCTATCTACGGTCAGTATCTCTTAATTCGTGCAAGTGGGATCTAGACCCGGAGTGTTCTAGAGCCTCGTGGCGACACACATCACAGAGGGGAGAGGGGGGGGAGATGTCCATCCCCTTCTTCACACACCAATCTGCAGTGGGGACGCTGGAGTGGAGGTCAAGGCATTGAAGTCCCGCAATTTTTTTTATTTTTTATTTTTTGGAACATTTCTTGATTTATGCGTGTCATCCATCCTTGCGCAGGGGCCATTTGCTAATCTACTTCTTTCTCTGTATCGTTCCAATCCTTTTAACGGATGTCCCGAAGGACGACAGACCAGCTCTTTCTATCTCTGTGAGACTGAGAATCAAGTAGTTAAGAGAGAGACTGACCCAGGAGGTGTTGAAGGAGACTGGGTTCCAAATATTCCAAGCATCAATCTGTAATGTAAAAGCTGTTTTTTTTTTTTTTTTTTTTGAGCGAAGCACTGGGCGTAATGGCGGTGAGGGCACAGTCACACTGGGACTTTTTAAATTGAGCTCTGGGCGTAATGGCGGTCAGAGACATCCAACACGAGCTGTAAATGCGGTCAGGTACATCCAGGAAACTCGTAGTGTGCCTGTGCTCTGCGCGGTGCCGCGGGGGAAAGGAATCAACCTATACGAGCGCAGCTTCGCGTAGATACTACTGTAGATAGTGACGGATGTATCTTCCCACTTTCTGCGTGAAAGTGCGGTCGCTTCGTTTCATGGTTGACAACTTCACGTAGAAAGTGGCCACTTTTTGTTGGGCGCGGGGCGAGCGGCGTAAAGAAACGGGAAAAGGAACTTCCTGCTCTTGATGGCAGCGCATCTGGACGTAAAAAGAGGCTAGATGCTTCTGCCACTGCCACCATGAAGATCGTGGCGCCGATTCTGAAGGGGGCAAATGCAATGAAGCCAAGAAGTGAAAAAGAACACATCATACCTTTCTCGGCTTTTTCGCTGAGCTCAAGTGTAGTTTCTGTTCTGATCCGTGGCCCGATGTGGTCCGTCGGGCCACATGAAAAAAAAAAAAAAAAAAAAAAGAAGAACGCATCTGTTCTCATCAGTTTAATATCTGATCCGTGGTCCATTGGGCCACATGATATTAAATTATTTTTTCATTAAATTAAATTTTCAGGGGTACGGTGGGGTCATATGGGTACTCGATCCCCCTAAGTTGTCTCTCTGTATTGCACTGCAGCAGAGTGCGCTCGCCCCATTCTCCCTTCCGGGGGGGGGGGAACGAAAAAGAAAAAAAAAAAGGAAAAAAAGGAATAAAAAAGAGAACGATGTCCTCCCCAACATCCGCCCCCCGCGCCCCGCCCCCCCCCAAAAAAAAGGGACAAAAACACAACACAAAACAAAGCGAAGGGCAAGAAAAGAGGGCAAAAAGAAAAAAAACAAAAAAAAAGCCAAGAGGGCGAGTGCTCTCATTACGTTTCCCCGCCTGCAACTCAACTCGTAGCGCCTCGCCGCACCGTTTCCCAAATTTGCCGAGTGGAGCATGCATCTTCCGCTAGAACGTGGACAGATACAGCCGCCCTAGCTCTTATCTTTGCACATTTAATGAGGGGAGCGCTTTGGGAGCGAGCGCGCGTGCCAAATGTTGGAGCGTCGGACTTCGCGAAATGCTGTGCGTACTTTGGGCGATGCCGCCCACCATCGCCTTTTTCTTCCTGCTCCTCTTCCTTTCTCCTTTTTTCCATCTTTATATGAAAGGGGTTTTGAGAAATGATGGTGACAACGAATGAAGGGGTTTTGCGAAATCCCCCCCCTCCTTTTTTTTTTTTGTTCTTGTTTCCTCTTTTCATCATCATATCTGTGATGATATATGATGATGATGATGATTGAGAAAAAGAAAAAGAAAAAAAAAAAATGATGATGATGATGATGATGATGATGATGATGATGATGATGATGATGAAGCTTTCGAGGAATTGCGTCGATTTTTTTTTTTTTTTTTGTCAGCATGAGAAGCTTGTTCGCCGCTAGGCCAACTTTGTCTAATTAATTGGTCCATCGGGACATCCGTGAAAATTGGAACGATACAGAGAATGAAGATTATCATGGCCCGGCCCCTGCGCAAGGATGTGATGTGAGATGAGCATTACAAGATGACGTCACACTCAGCAGAGTCGACCACTCAGCAGAGTCGACAAGATTGACGATTAGTGAAAAAAATGTTTAAGTCCGAATAATACGTTCGACAACACCCTGCGCAAGTGAGGATGACATGCATAAGTCGAGAAATGGTCCAAATTAAAAATTTTGTGCAGATCTCTGCAATGAAATGTTTTTTTTTTTTTTTTTTAAGCGCTGGAAGAAGGGAGTAATGCACCTTACTGCCGTCTTCACCCGAATACAACTCCCGGTCATTATCACCGCATCTGGACTGAAAGCTGCCCCAGATACGGCCATGATGACTGGCCATTCTATTCGGGTCGAAGACGGCAGGAAGGACTTTATCCAGGACGCAAAAACTCGAAATTGGGCCGTGGGGGAGAAGGGGAAGGGGAAGGGGGGCGATATTACGGCATGTACTATTTGTATATGTGTGTGTGTGTTTGTGTGTGTCTGTGTGTGTGTGTGTGTGTGTGTGTGTGTGTGTGTGTGT